TCAGAATCCTGTGGACCGATTCCGTTCATTCTTTGCATGTGCCTAGTACCTTATGTGGGACATATGCACATGCAGTGGTTTAGCGATTCAATTCAAAATGGCCGACTGGCAGCCATCTGGTTTTTTGAAAATGTTGTATTTTGGACATGCTTTGTCAGTTGTCATTCAAACTTGGTACATAGATTATACATGTTAGGATACATGTCCATGACGATTTATTTTGCAATTGGATCAAAGATGGTCGACTGGCAGGCATCTTGTTTTTGTTTTTTTATGCAGTATCTTGGACGTGCTCTGTCAGTTTTCATTCAAATTTGGCACATACATGTACTTTATACATGTTAGGATGCATGTCCATGACAATTCGTTTCAAAATCTGGTCAAGGATGGATGATTGACAGCCATCTGACTTTTTGGCCTTACTACTATATTTCCACAATTTATGTACCATTTTCATTCGTATTTGGCACACACATTATACATATCAGTGTGTTTCATAATCAGATCAAAGATGGCTGAATAACGACTGTTTTTATTTTGGCCATATTACTATGACACGAAACACATGTTTTGATGTAAATAAACAATCTGTTGTATACGCCACTTGGAACTCAAGTTTCAAGGACATGCTCGCGACAACCCCTCCGCTTTAATATGACGAGCACAAAGAGAACTTAACGGGGACTGTGTCATTTTCAATGACTTGTTACTTATGTATTTTATTGTTCATTACAGTATGTCCTTATTGTATTCTAATCAATATCAATAAAGGTTGTTATTATTATAACAATTACAACACCACATATTTGAAAAGCCTATTTTAACACATGTAGAACATGCTTATTTTGCCAGCATGAACAGGACACAATGTACCCGGGGGTATGTGCTAGATGTGTTTATTTCAACATGACATGTTCATTTCCATTCAACTTCAACATGCACTTGGGCAAGGCATGTTTATTTCAACGTGACATGTGCATGCAAGGCATGTTTATTTCAACGTGACATGTGCATGCAAGGCATGTTTATTTCAATGTGACATGTGCATGCAAGGCATGTTTATTTCAATGTGACATGTGCATGCAAGGCATGTTTATTTCAACGTGACATGTGCATGCAAGGCATGTTTATTTCAACGTAACATGTGCATGCAAGGCATGTTTATTTCAACGTAACATGTGCATGCAAGGCATGTTTATTTCAACGTGACATGTGCATGCAAGGCATATTTATTTCAATGTGACATGTGCATGCAAGGCATGTTTATTTCAACATGACATGTGCATGCAAGGCATGTTTATTTCAATGTGACATGTGCATGCAAGGCATGTTTATTTCAACATGACATGTGCATGCAAGGCATGTTTATTTCAACGTGACATGTGCATGCAAGGCATATTTATTTCAATGTGACATGTGCATGCAAGGCATGTTTATTTCAATGTGACATGTGCATGCAAGGCATGTTTATTTCAACGTGACATGTGCATGCAAGGCATGTTTATTTCAATGTGACATGTGCATGCAAGGCATGTTTATTTCAATGTGACATGTGCATGCAAGGCATGTTTATTTCAATGTGACATGTGCATGCAAGGCATGTTCACTTCAACTTACACACACACATGAACATGATTTATCTTCACTGTACGAATAAAGAAACCATGTTAATATTGCCTGATTGTTCACTAAGGGTTGGACAGTATAGTCACCTGGTTTACCCCTGTTGTTATGCAGATTGATTTTGACTTCTTCTTATATATTCAGTTTATATAAATACACATATTAAACTAAGATTATTTGCACTGTCATCTTTCATTTCAGATTATTATGATGATAAAGTTGTTGAATGCTTGAATGCAGAATTGTGTGATACACTTGGTAATTTACTTTCAAGGTGTACTGCTAAATCACTCAATCCAAAGCAGATTTTCCCACCACTTGATGCTAATTTATTTCCTCCAGTGATGAAGAGTGGTATCAAGGCAACCAGAGATGACTATAATCTTATTATGAAATTTACTAATTTACCAGGTAACAAAGTAAAAGGACCCATATAACACTCATTCAACTAATTTGCATGTGAAAAGTTGAATATTGATTCATTATTCAAACCCCTTCATGTGTACATTACATAGCTAGTATTAATAATATATAGTGTTCAGCCTTGCAGGTTAATCCTCATTGACATGTAGAGTGGATGAGATAATATAAGTTTATATTACTACAGCTGGTTGTCTATTTCAAAAGATCAATAACTTTTAATTCTTCATGTCACCTTAAAAATAAGGCTTTATCAGAGGCTATGAACGAAACATAATAAATTTGGATAAATATATAATAACTGTTTAAGTTCATAATGTAAATGGAAATTAGAAAAAAAAACAAGACAAATAAGTGTAAATTCAAATGAAAATAAAATGGTCCTGATGATATGTGACATACCTGATACATGGTATTACATGGAGTATGGGGATAAATGTGTTCCTGTGAGCTATATATATACAATGTATATATATTGTTGGGGGCGGTTTGTATGTCAAGTGCCACCACTTGTACTTGAGTTTCCCCAATGTCCAGAAATATGAAATATTTTATACATTTGCTTATTTCTTTCAATTTGTTCACAGAGTGTGTCCACCAATATTACATAAACTTTGAGGTTCATAAAGCAATAAAGGAAATAATGTCATGTTTAAGGGAAACCAATGCCTTTATACAACGCCATGAACCATGGAATCTTAGAAAGAATGCAGCTGATCAAACATGGTTGAACACTGTCTTGCACATTGCCATGGAAACGCTTAGGATATCAGGAATTCTATTGCAACCTGTCGCCCCTAATTTAGCTGACAAACTACTATCCAGACTTGGAATATTGAACCACAATAGGACATGGAGTGATTTGAACTGTTTTTCATCTTTGCACGCTGATACATGTTTAAATGCTGGACACAGTTTGGGACCTGATACAGGTGTTCTGTTTACAAGGATAAAAAAATAATTAAACAACTTTGTTGGCACATGTTGTTTGTTGAAATGTGTGGCATCTATGTGCATTTTGAGAATGAGAGATTGTCTGGTTGGTACCACTAGTGTGACTTCTAGTGAATATGTCTAATGTTGATTCACCGTCCATGACACCTTTATGAATGCCACATGGGATTATGCGGAGTGATGAATTCTCATATGTTAACCAGCACACATGCAGTCTGTTAGTGGGACAATCTGTTATGCTATCAATCAATCAATCAATCAATCAATCAATCAATCAAGATGTATAAACACATCAAAGCTGTAATGAACACATTGTATGATGTATCTGTATATCAATTGGATTCAATATATGTGTACTCGATGTCACAGGTGCATTCATTTGCATACTGCAGGACTATTTAAGCAACAGAATTATTAATTTAGATACTGTTCTATTGTCTTATATTCTTGAAGTAATATTTCTCTCTGATCATACATTAATTAGGATAATCTGAGGGAAACACTGATTTATAGCTACTGCAACTCGAGCAACGTCCAATGTCGCTATGGACATTATGTCACTTCATGTATGTAAATATAGAGTCAATTTGAAAAAGCAACTAATATTCTTCAACCTGGTATTTTTTATAGATTTTATTTTTCATTCTGAACGTCTTTTTTTTCCAGTTTAAAAAACATGAGCTCGCTGGAGTCTTCATCCCTTGTCTGTTTCTTGCACAAAATACCAGCTGATACCCCTCCCCCTCCCGCGCATAGGGACTGCGTACAGTTGATTATAGTTCCTGGACTCCCTGTGGTTAAACTATGAGACGGGCGATATTGCCAGAACCAGGTAATCATACCAAGATTGACGGTTGTACATTTTAATAACTATATTGATACACATACATATAAATGTATGGAACTAAACTGGTTAAGAACCAGTGGACAACGAATACTTACTAAGAAAGTTGAATATTTATTGAGCAAAAAGTGATATAAAAGCGGCAATATCCAAACACATAAAATACAATGTGAAAACCAAGTAGTGGCCACTTCGTTGAAATCGGTCAAATCGGTTCCCAGACTGAAAAAAAAAATATAGTACACTACACACACTATTCTAGTATTCTGGGTAAGGCACTTAAAATCATAAGTGCGAGGCCTTAAATGGCGAAGTATTCGGTAAGTTGTCATTTTAAAACATATTAATCTCTGAATAACTGGATTTCAATAATGTACATGTATGTTGGTATATAGTGTATACGCTATGCTTTCAGTGTCCATATTTTGACGATGGTCATTACAAATTTGTCCTAATGCAAAAATGTTTTATTAAAACCAACAATTAGAGAATGAAGATTGATAGTTACCGGTACAACTATTGCCGCTTAAACAAAACTGAAGTGAGACGGTCATCTTTAATGAGAACATGAACCAAATAACATGATGTATAATGTAGTTATAAATTGTGATTGCAACCAAACAAAATATGTAAGAGATATGGCTCTAGAACAGCATTTGCCTTTAGCCATTTTGAAACCGATCTGAAAAAAATAATATATAAATGTTCAATGTATGTACCAAGATGAACAATGTGTAACCGAGATAAAAGTCCAGAATGTCATTATTTTGTAGCATATTCTTTAAAATTGGGAGTATTTGACCATCAAACAAATTAATATGTATATATGCGACATGTGTCTATCAAGTCTGAACATGATTGGACAAGGTATGTTAAATTTGATCTGACGTGCATAGAGTTCCATAATTCCCAATGTATGAATCAAGTCTGCATAAATCAATACATACAACCTAGACTGATTGGTTCCAGAATAAAAGAAATACTTGATTTTGATGTCCAAACGGGAACTAAAGCTGTAAATTGAAGATCTTTCATCTGGTAGTATCGTGCTGTTAACCAGAACGACCCCTTAATAACTCTCAATTAATTCTCTGGTAAACTTTGAATGGGCTTTTTCTCTGTACTATAATGCCTACTCAGTATTTACGACTCAACGGTAAATAACATTACCAAGTTGTCTGTTTCCCAACGAACACTGTGCCTATTTAAAATATGTAAAAACTCTAAGTCAAAATGATAAATCAGTCTAAGTGGGGATAAAATGATATCAAATACAACATGATTTGTGTATGCTGAATTAATGGTCTCCATCGCGCAATTACTTGGGGAAGCTAGCTGGAGGTGTTTACTGCCTGCATGCCAAATGTGGTTGTGTACCACTGATCACTATAAATTGATAGTTGCTCCTTTGATATTGGTCACTGTGAAGAGCGCCCTATCCGCATGGTAATGAAAGTGTAATAGCTGGTAAAAAAAGATAGAAATTATGTGTTTGGTTTCACCAATCATTGGTTAGAAAAATCTAAGCATAATTATTCTTTGTGACGAGACATGTGCACATTTGTGATAGCTAATATGCATGAAGATAAACAGCTTCAGACCACCAGATGGTCGGGAATGACCATCTCCGTAGAACATCCTGGCATTCATTTATCAACTGGATCCGTGAATCCAGATAAGTCTTCTTTGGTAGGTGCCTTCTGGAGGATACCTTATGTTGCATGTGGCAACTGTGCTCATTACTTATAGCAGTGTTGCTGCTATTTGTGTAGGCAAGTGTGTGGCACATGTTCTGATTTGGTTGAAAGACAGACGAATCTATTCCAAGGTAAGTATTTGTGATTTCCCAATGTCGGAAATATGTGGGCGAGTGTTGATGG